CAGCATATCAAAATCTGTTGGATGTCACGAAAGCTATAATCGGAGGAAAATTTTATAACACTATACCTAAAAATTTTTAAGCGTATAAATCACTGAACTCTGCTTCTACCTTAGGAAACTAGAAAAAGGAAAGCAAATTAAACTAAAAGATGCAAAAGAAAGGAAACAAAGCTCAAAGCAGAAATTAATGAAAACAGAAAAATGGGAAAAAACTGATTAAGCTGACTTTTTGAGGCAGTCAGTAAAATAGACAAGCTTCTAGCCAGATTGATTAGGAAAAAGTGAAAAAAATAAAACATTTTTGATAACAGTATCAAAAATGAAAAATGTGGCATCACTGCTGAGTCTGTTGCTCTTAAGAAGATATAAAGCAATAGTATGGTATAATAACTTATGCCAGTAACTGTGATTAATTTTATATGAAATGGACAAGTTCCTTGAAAGACGCAAACCATTCATACTCACATAAGAAGAAATTTTTAGAACCTGTTGAGCTCTGTATCTATTAAACAGATTTGATATGTAATTGAAAACCTTCCCACAAAGAAACGACATGCCCATCTGGCTTCACTGGAGACTCTGCCACACATTTAAGGACGAAATAATAGCAGTTCTGTATAAACTCACTCAGAAATTTGAGAGGAGGGAATACCTCTCATTTTGTTGTGCCAGTATTACCCTGATAGCAAAACCAAAGATATTACAGGAAGAAAATAGATGCAAAAATGAATATGAATATAGATGTAAAAATTCTTAATAAAATTGTAGCAAATCACATTTGAGAATATATAAAAAGGACAGTACATTGTGACCAGTTGGCATTGGTACAAGAAATACATAATTGATTTAAGATTAGAAAATTAATTGATAGAACCCAACTATTATCAAACTAAACAAGAGAAACCATGTGATCATTTCACTAGATACAGTAAAAGTATTTTACAAAATCCAACATTCATTCCAGATTTTAAAAATAACTTGGCAAACTCAGAATACAGAGGAACTTCCTCAACCTTACAAAAGACATTCATGAAAAAGTTACAGTCAACATCACCCTTAGTGGTAAAAGACTGGATACTTTCCTAAGATTAGGAACAAGTCACAGACATTCACTCTTACTGTGTTCAGTGATATACTGCAGGTTCTTCCCAGTGCAATTGAGCAAGAAAAATAAAAGAATCTAGTTTAAAAAGAAAGAAGAAAATGTTTATTCACTGTTGACATGATCATCTGTACAGAAAACTTAATCTGCAAGAACAAAAAGGAATCAGATATAATAAGTGAATTTATCAAGGTTACAAATCAAACTATAAAAACTAATTTTTTTTTGTATTAGCAACAAAAAATTGGTAATTATATTTTGTTAGCATTATAAATATGAAATGCTTAGGGTGACACCTAATATGTGCAAGATTTGTACACTAAAAACTACGCAATGTTGCTGAAAGGAAGTAGACCCAACTAGATAGAAAGATACATTTTGCTACAGATCAGAAGATACTAGTTTTCCTCATACTTTCTATAGATACAACATAACTGCAATCAAAATCCCAGCAGGTTATTTTATAGAAATTTAGAAGCTGATTCTGAAATTCATATAGAAATGCATAGGGTGCAGTTGCTTACACCTGTAATCCAAGCACTTTGGGAGGCTAAGGCGGGTGGATCACCTGAGGTCGTGAGTTTGAGACCAGCCTGACCAACATGGAGAAACCCCGTCTCTGCTAAAAATACAAAAATTAGCCGGGCATGGTGGCGTGTGCCTGTAGTCTCAGATACTCCAGAGACTGAGGCAGGAGAATTGCTTGAACCCAGGAGGTAGAGGTTGCAGTGAGCCAAGATTGCGCCCTTGCGCTCCAGCCTAGGCAACAAGAGCGAAACTTCATCTCAAAAAAAAAAAAAAGGAAAGAAAGGCAAACTATCTAGAATAATTAAAACAACTTCCAAAATGAAAAGCAAAGTTTGGGGACTAACAGTACCCGGTGGCAGACCTGGTGCATTTGAGAGGTAGTGCCTGAGTTGTCTAAACGGACAAGGAGGTCAGTGATCGTATTGGAACTCATGGTGGAAGGATGGGCTAAGAATGGAAAGCAGGTGCACAGGGAAAGTGGCTGGTCAGGGTTGCTCTCGGGCTGTGGTGGATGCTTTTTAGCTTTTCAGAAGTTCACTGATGCGCTATTAAACTTTTCAAAAAGATTGAAGCTGTGCAACCAGGTCACTTGTTTCCTCTCAAACAAGAAATTTTAAAAATTCAAGTTTCTTTTCCTTTTTTTGAGAGTTTTGTTCTGTCGCCCAGGCTGTAGTGCAGTGGCATGATCTCGGCTCACTGCAACCTCTGACTCCTGGGTTCAAATGATTCTCCTGCCTCAGCCTCCCAAGTACCTGGGATTATAGGTGCATGTCACCACGCCTGACTAATTTTTGTACTTTTAGTAGAGATTGGGTTTTGCTGTATTGGCCAGGCTGGTCTTGAACTCTTGACCTCAAAGGATGTGCCCTCCTCAACCTTCCAAAGCGCTGGCATTCCTAGCAGTCTCAAGCATTTAAATAAATAGTTATGTGGAGATTTAAATGATAGAAAGGGGATTTAAGTGACAGAAAGTGTGTTTCCTCTAAGGAGGTGGTTCCCCTGCTTGTGAGTAGAGTGAGTGTAGATTGGATTTGTGGCCCCACAATCTGTCTGGGACTTGGAGAAAGTTTCCGATTGACCTGCAGTGTCTCTTCACGTTGGGTCTCATTGCCGGCTGTGCCCTCTCCTGGTGCTTGAGTCTTTTTTATTTCCCCTTGAGTTAGCACAGTTAGAATCTATGGAATGGCCTCTTCTTGGGGATTCCGGTACTGATACCAGCTGGGGCATTGGGGAACAAGGAAGCAAGTGTCCACCACGGCGGCACTCTGCCTCAGTTCTGCAGACTGTTGAAGTGTGGGAGCACGTGCGTGAGGTCCTGTGGCTTCTGTGAGCCAGCACTGTGGGTGTAGTGGCACCAGGGTTAGGAGCAGCCACACAGCCACTGGTCCCTCCCTGTCACCACCTGGGGGCGGGGAGGAGGTGGTGTTGGTTCTGATTTCTAACAGCAGAGGCTGCTTTTGCCTGACCTTGAACTTCATGAAAGGAAACTGTACTATGTGCATTCAGTTGTGTCTGGTTTTTTTGGAGACAGGGTGTCACTCTGTCACCCAGGCTGGAATGCAGTGGCGTAATCCTAGTTCACTGCAGCCTTGACCTCCTGGGCTCAAGCAATCCTCCCTCCTCATCCTCCCTTGTAGCTGGGACCACAAACACGCGCCACCACACCCGGCTGATTTTCTTACTTATCGATAGTTTTTAATATAGTCTGGATGTGGTCCTTTGTCAGAATACACACACACACACACGCGTTTTACATGTTCAGTGTAGCAAGCATCTCCCACTTAGGATGGGTTTTTTTTTTTTAACTTAATGGTTTCTTGATAAACAGACATTCTTAATTTTACTATAGTCCAATTTGTTAATTTTTTTCTTGGTGCTGTTTTTTTGCGTGTGTGTCCAATAAAGATCTGTGCCTACTCTGAGGCCACAAAGATTTTCTTTTACATTTCTTTCCAAAAGCTTTATTTTTTTTAAATTTTATGTATTATTATTATTTTTTGAGATGGAGTCTCACTCTGTAGCCCAGGCTGGAGTGCAGTGGTGCGGTCTTGGCTCACTGCAACCTCCACCTCCCGGGTCCTGGTTCAAGCAATTCTCCTACCTCAGCCTCCCAAGTAGCTGGGATTACAGGCATGAGCCACCATGCCCAGCTAATTTTTGTATTTTTTTAATAGAGACGGGGTTTCACCATGTTGGCCAGTCTGGTCTTGAACTCCTGACCTCATGATCCACCCTCCTCGGCCGCCCAAAATGCGGGGATTACAGGCGTGAGCCACCGCGCCCAGCCTCAAAAGCTTTGTTATTTTGCTTTTAACATTTAGACCTATAGTGTGTCTAGAATTAAGTTGTATGTATGGGATTGGATGAGCTAGAGGGCAAGGTTCATTTTTTTCACAACTTGACCCTTGAACAACTCAGGGTTTAGGGGCAGTGACCCCCACCAGGTGGTTAAAAACCCACGTCTTACTTTTGCCGCTTCCTTCTCTTAATTATGAACAGCCTGCTGCTGATGGGAAGCCTTCAGATAACATCACAGTCACTTCACATGTATTTTGCATGCTATTGCAATATCTGCTGTACTCTGCCTGTCAAGTCAGCTAGAGAAAAGAAAATGGTATTAAGAAAATCATCAGGAAAATATATTTACTGTCATTATGTGGAAGTGAACCATCCTAAAGATCTTCATCCTCATCACCTGTGCATCAAGTAGGCTGAGGAGAAGAAAGAGAAAGGGGGTTGGTTGTGCTGTCTCAGGGGAGGCAGAGGAGGAAGAAAACCCATGTATAAGTGACCCTCTTAGCTCAGATCAGTGTTTTTCAAGGATGGACTGTATACCTGGTACACATACCACTGTTTTCAGAAGTCAGGTGTGAACAGGATTACTCCCAAGCACTGCCCTGTGCCTCGGCTGTGCATGTTCTATGCGTGCAGTCCCACATCCTTCCCCAGTGACTGCCAGCAGGTGTCGCCTTTGTGAGTCTCAGACGTGGGGCTGAGAGTGAGGACAAAGCAGGTCCTATGTCCTATTCACCCTCCCAGTCCTCAGGTCCCACGGTCCCGCCATGCTTGGCTTATACCTGCCCTGGCCCCACGTGAAGTGGGGATGTCTGTCTCAGGCTGGCGTGGGACCTGAGGACTGGCTGGTGGGCATGCTCCCTGCTGCATCGGAGGCTAGCCAGGCTTTGCTGCAACCCAGGGGCCAGGTAGCAGGAGCACTGGGGCATGGGGTTGGCTGCCTGGGGGCAGTTCACGGGTGCCACAAAGTCCATCTTCATTCTGTCCTGCCACTCAACGGTGATGGGCTTGGTGGTTGGTGTGATCAGACGTTTTCCAAATCAGCAGTGTTGCTTCTCCCCTTCCCTTCTCACAGTGTGGCACCTTCCTGTCTAAGCTGGAGTCGTCCCGATGATCCACTGACATCAGTCCACCTCAGCGAGGAAGCAGACAGCGATGTCCCAGACACAGGACTACGAGTGCAGGAGCCATAATGTCGACCTGCCAGAGGCAAGGATTCCAGGGTCAAGCACTCGGTAAGGAGCCAACCGACCTATGGAGCCGCCTGGGCCACAGGAGTGGGTGGAACAAGTCCTTCTTGCACACAGAGCAGTGTGTGTGCAAGATTCTCCGTGCAGTCACTGACTCTTTTCAAAGCCCAGATGGATGGCCGGTGCCACCTGTGCACGGTGCTGCCCTCAGGGCTCTGGCCCACGATCCTGCAGTTGTGGGTGGCCATGATTCATGGTTTTTAGTTTTCTAATTTTTGACTTTCCAATTTATTTATTTATTTATTTATGAGACAGGGTCTCTCACTCTGTTGCCCAGGCTGGAGTGCAGTGGTGCGATCATAGCTCTCTGCAGCCTTGAATTCCTGGGCTCAAGCAGTCCTCCTACCTCAGCCTCCCAGCTAGTTGGGACTGCAGTCATGCACCACCACATCTAACTGATTTTTAATTTTTTGTAAAGATAAGGTCTCTATGTCTTGCCCAGGCTGGTCTTAAACTTCTGGGTTCAAGTAATCCTTTTGGAAGGCCAAGGCCTCCCAAAGTGCTAGGCTCACAGACGTAAGCCACTGCTCAGCCCTAATTTGTAGGCTTTTGTTTGGAAATAATTTCATGCTTCTAGAAAAGTTGTAAGAATAAGAACAGTCCCATGAGTACTCAAGTGCCCTCGCCCCAGAGACCCTGTGGCTAGCATTGCTCCTGTCACCGCTGAATACTTTGGGGTGGCTTGTGGCCTGAGACCATGTGCTCCTTCAGGATGTCTTCCAGGTAGCTCAGGACGCTTGTTACCAAGAGTAAATCTGGCCCCGTTCCATCTCAGCCAGCGTCCCATGCCTCCAGTTTGGCTCTGCCCCAACGGCCTTTCTCTCCTTAGTCTTTTTTAATCTGGAAGAATTCCACACCTTTTGTCACATTGATATTTTTAAGGTAATAGTCACCCTATTTAAAATAGATCATTCCAGCCTGGGCAACCTAGTGAGACCCAATCTCTAAAAAATATACAAAAATTAGCCAGGCGTGGTGGCAGGTGCCTATGGTCTCAACTGCTTGGGAGGCTGACATGAGGAGATCTCTTGAACCCGAGGGGTTGAGGCTGCAGTGAGCTGAGATCACACCACTGCACTCCAGCCTGAGTGACAGAGTGAGACTCCGTGTCACAGTAAATAAATAAAATAGAGTTCCTTGGTTTGGGTTTGTCTGACAGTTTTTCAGGAGGATACTACACAGGTGGTATTAGGTCCTCCTGGGCCCTGCATCTGCAGACACTGCTGTCCATCTGTCCCTCACCTGGCAGCATGACCTCTGACCCCGATGGAAGCCTCATCTATGCTCTCCTCGGTTCAGCTGCTGCCTCTGGCCCCAGTTCCCTGTCTGGTGCTTTGTCCCTCTCTATATGGTTGGTCTTTCCAGGACTCAGCGTAACCTTGTTTCCCAGAGCCCACGCACCTTCCATACTTGCGATCAGCACTCAACCTTGATCTGAGCAGGAGTACTGCTCTCTTGTTGTATATTCATTCATTCATTTGTTGGTTGGTGTGGGCTCTGAGCTCTGTTGGGTTTTTTCAGGGTTTTTGTTGCTCTTCCCTTTCACTGGCTTGGTGCACATGTGCCCAGGTAGGCCCCTGAGCGTCTCACTGGCTCCTGTGTCCTTGATGTCCTCATTCCTCTGAGTGCTTCCTTCCTCCTGGCACAACTGCCCTGCACAGCCCTGGAATCAGCTGTTTGTCTGGGAGTTCTGGTTTCTTTTAGGGACTACTGACCAGTCTTAGAGAACAAGGTCTGGGTTCTTAGAATACTCAGTACTACTGCAGTGTTTGCTTTTTGGCCTCTGAAGCACATAGAACTAGACAATTATGCAGGAGTGTGCACATGTACACACAAAGGTACACAACGACACATGCTCACCTCCAGGCAAACACACACACACACATAGGTTCACAAGCTTACATGCACGCCTCCACGCACACATGCACACACAGGTACACAAGTGCGCACACACACTTCCACGCACACTCACACAGGTACACAAGTGCTCACACATGTCTACACCCATGTGCGTACATGAGCAAGCATGCGTGGCTACACACACACACACGTAGACAAGCGTGCACGCACGCCCTCATACATGCACACAGGTACATGAGTGCATACACATGTCTCCACACATACGGGAGTACATGAGCATGCATACATGCCTCCACACACACAGATACACAAACATACACACATCCACGCACATGAAACAAGTACACGAACATATACATGCCTCTACACACAAGTACACAAGCACACACACCTCCACACACATGCACACAGGTGCACAAGCATGCACGCACGCCTCCACACACACGCATCCTAGAAATGCCGAGCGCACATGGTGCTCCAGTCCCGTCCCTCCCACAGGGAGTTGCTCTGTGGTCTCCTCTTCCGTCACGTCTCTTCTTTCCTGGCTCCCAAGAACACCAGCACGTTTACTCACTTGCTCATATGATAATTTGTCTAAAATTGTTTCAGAATTACTTCACCCATTCCACTACAAAAATATATGCACTAAAAAAAGTCAGGGTTCATTTGCATTCCCTTACATGCACATTTTTTTCAGGAATGCGGAACAGAGACAGCCTGTGTTCATGAGTTGTTTGGATTAGCTCTTTCGCTTTTCTTCATTATGATTCTGACATCCATTGGTTCATTACTTTCAGTTAGAGATTTTTCCTCTACCTTCCCATTCTTCCTGCTATAATTTCATCTTTTAAATATATAGGCCATCCACATGCCCCCAAAGCCCCAACCATACACAGGCACATTCAGCCCCATGCCCTTTCTGCACCCACCTACCTGCTGCAGGCAGAAACTTATCTTGTTTTCAGTTTAATCTCCCAGGTTTCTGTTTGTAAGAATAAACAGATGTTGGTATGTTTTCTTATTTTCCTTCTTTCTTACACAAATGATATCATGGTGTATGTGTTCTTTGCACAATTTGCTTTTTCCACTTTAAACATCTCCTCAACGTCACTTCCTCTCAGACCATCTAGATTGTCCTCCTCTTTTGAAGCTTCCTGGGCCTCTGTTGTGTGTGTGCCCCAGTCTTGTGTTGGCCATGTGGGTAATTTTGAATATTCTGCAATTACAAGTAATGTTGCAGTCTGCTTGTGTAATTCTGTGTTTTGGGAGGTGTCTCTGCTGGTGAATTTCTGATGAGGGACTGCTAGGTCAAAGGTTGCCTTTGCCTGATGCTCGTGCTACCTTTGGGGTTCCTGTGAGCAGCACCAACCTCGGCCATCGGGGCCTGTTGACCGCTACCCCTGCCAGAACCCTGGGCGTGTGCCTGGGGTTTCTGGGCAGCTTGGGCTTTGGGGCCCTTATGATCGCTGAAGTAGGCACCCTCCATGTGTTACTGTATGCTTTGTGAATTGCCTACTCTTATCTTTTGCCCATTTTTCTATAGTTTTTTTTATCTTTTCGTGCTCAAATTTGTATATTAAAGACATGAACTTTGTAATTTATATTGTAAATGTTCCACTAAATGTGTCCAAAAAGCCGAAATCTGTTGTAATTTATTTGTAGTGGTTTTTGCATGTAAAAGGTTTTTGAATCTTTGTATAGTCACTTTGGCCATGGAGGCTGCCTGTGTCTGTGAGGGGCACCACATCTTCTCTCATGTCCTGAGCTCTGTAAGGAGCTGGGTCTGCTTCTGCCCGTCCGTCTGGCCCTGCTGGCTTCCTGTCCTGTGCCCAGCCACACCTGCCTCATCGAGGGTCTTTTCTGCTCCTTCCCAGCCTCCCTGTGGTTCATGTTTCCTCACGTGGCACCTCAGTAGCCCTCCACTGACACCCACGGTTGGGTTCCAGGTTTCTCCTTTACACACAGTGCAGAGGGCCCTGCAGCTGTCCAGCCTTTGAGGCTATGTCGGGCGCCCTCTGGACTTCCCTGGGCTGCTCATTCCCTTGTAGGAATGGGCCACATTTGCTTATTCATGCATCAGGTGAGGGACATTTGGTCTCTTGCCACTTTTTTGCTATGATGAGTCATGCTGCCATGAACATTGGTGTGCAGATTTCTGTGTGAACACATTTTTATTACCTGGTTGTGGAATTGCTGGGTCAGGTGGTGACTGTGTTTAACATTTATTATTATCATTATTGAGAAAGGTTGGTGCTTGTCAGGCTGGAGTGCAGAGGTATAGTCATGGCTTACTGCAGCCTCCAACTCCCACCTCAACTTCCCAAAGTGCCAAGATTACAGCCACCACACCCGGCCTGTTTAACTTTTTTTTTTTTTTTTTTTTTTTACCCAGGCAAATCCTCACTCTGTTGCACAGACTGGAGTGCAGTGGCACCATCTTGGCTGCAACCGCTGCTTCCCAGATTCAAGTGATTCCCAGGCCTCAGCCTCCCAAGTAGCTGGGACTATAGGTGCGTGGCACCACACTCGGCTGATTTTTGTATGTTTAACTTTTTTTTTTTTGACAGAGTTTTGCTCTTGTTGCCCAGGCTGGCACGATCTTGGCTCACCAAAACCTCCACCTCCTGGGTTCAAGCGATTCTCCTGCCTCAGCCTCCAGAGTACCTGGGATTACAGGCGCATGCCACCGCACTCAGCTAATTTTGTATTTTTAGTAGAGACCAGGTTTCTCCGTGTTGCTCAGGCTGGTCTTGAACTCCTGACCTCAGGTGATCTACCTGCCTCAGCCTCCCAACGTCCTGGGATTACAGATGTTAGCCACTGCTCCCAGCCAGTATGTTTAACTTTTTGAAGAACCACCAAACTTTCTTCCACAATGGCCACACCATTTAATGTTCCCGCTCCCACCAGCAATGTATAAAGGTTCCAGTTTCTCCACATCCTTAACAACACTTGTTATTATGGTTTTTGCGTTATTATTATTGCCATTCCAGTGGGTTTGAGATGGTGTCTCTTGTGGCTTTCATTTGCATTTCTCCTATGGCTAATGATGATGAGCATCTTTTTATGTAGATGGGCTATGTGTATATCTTCTTTGGAGATGTGTCTGTTCAGGTACCTATTTT